TGCTTCCCTGCAGCCTGCTGGCTGTCACCCAGGCAGTTAGTGGGCGGTGGGCTCAGCTTGGAGGAGGAGCAAAGATGTCACGTGGCAGCTGACAGTAAAGGCGCACGCGGGCTAGAACGGGGAACCACCGGGCGTTTTAGGGTGCAGTGGGCTCTCAGGGAAGAAGCCGGCGGCTTGGTTTCTGCCTGATTTCTTTGGTGAAGAACAACTCTGAGAGCAGCTGAGCTGGCCCAAGGCATTTCTGTGCCCCCCTAATCTTAGTTGCAGACTAAAGCTTCAACTCGGCTCTTGCGGCTCCGAAATAAAACCGTCCCTGGCGGAAAGGAGCAGGAGCCGGAGTTCTGGGTGCACCGCGGATGCCACATGCGGGAGGGAGGGAGGTGGCCGCCCCCGAGGGGCACGTGCAGGGGCCCGGGTCTCCTGCGTCCAGGTGCCTCGGGCGGCCAGGTGTCACACAGCGAGACTGCCCCCTCCTCGTGGGGTGTACAAGGAAGCCGGCCTGTAGCTGGGGTGTGCGTCTTCCTTGCGGGGCCGTCAGAGGACCGGGAGTTAGGAGCCCTGCAGCCCAGGCCTTGCCGCGGGAACCAGCTTCTCATCATTTCCGTGTTTTTGTTTTGTGGGGTTTCGGCAGTGCAGGTGGGCGTGAGGAGGCAGAGGTCAGTGTCCTGGGCCCTGGCTGTACCGCACGGCCCCCGCACACTTGGATCCTCTTCCCAGTGAGGGCCTCGCCCGCTCCCCAACGCCTGGCTTGGTCCTGAAAGCCCGTGTCCCAGGCAAGGGTCTCACCCGAGACTGCGGTTTCCGCCCAGCCCTTCCCTCCCTGTTCCTCGACTATCATTTGGCATCTTGAGAAGCCAGAACGAGCACCCACCTGTGGGAACTCTGAACCCCACCCCCACCCCAGCTCAGAGCCTCGTGTTTGCAGGGAGCATCTCTGTGGGACACATCCGGGAAGACACAGGGACAACGGGGGTGCAAGTTGATGTGCTGGGCAGCGCCCCCTCCTGGCAAGAGGAGGTGCTACTTCACCTCCCACTCGGTAAAGCCCACCTACCCTGCACCCTCTCCTCCTCTCTCCTTCTGAAAACAGAGATGGTAGATTGGATAAGGGGCCCTTTTCAGATATTTCATCACAATCAGTTTTAAAAATAAGATTTATTTTGTTGAAAGAGAGAGGTAGAGAAAGGGGAGGGAGAGAGGTCTTCCATCTGCTGGTTCACTCCCCAAATGCCTGCAACAGCCGGAGCTGAGGCGCCAGGCACCAGGAGCTTCTTCAGGGTCTCCCATATGAGTGCAGGGGCCCAAGGACCTGAGCCTCCCTCACCTGCTTTCCCAGGTGCATTAGCAGGGAGCTGGATTGGAAGTGGAGCAGCCAGGACTTGAACTGACGCCCCTATGGGATGCTGACACTGCAGGCCGGGGCTTCAACCTGCTGCACCACAGGTTTTCCTCCACCCCTTCTCATCGTTGGACAAGAGGGCTCACTTCAGCTGTCACAAATTTACCATTCTCCAGTTTTCTTAGGTCTGTGTCCTCTCCTGGATGAGGCATGAGCTCTGTGTAGCCATGGTCACCGTGGACTGCAGCGGGAGGAGACAGGCGCAGGTGATGGCTGCATTGCAGGTTCACCCGTTGGTAACTTCCAGACGTGGCTGTCTGCCTGCAGGATTTGCTTGGAGCCGATGATGGGGGGAGGGGTTTACACCTACAAGAGGGGCAGTTGAGGAAGATACGTGATGCAGTAAGATAAAAACACAGGAGTCTGCACGGTGGTATAGTGTGTTAAGCTGCTGCCTGTAATGTCAGCATCCCATATGGCTGCCGGTTCATTCCCCAGCTGCTCCACTTCTGATCCAGCCCCCTGCTAATGCACTTGGAAAGGCAGTGGAAGATGGCCCAAGTGCTTAGGCCCCTGCACCCATGTGGAGAGACCTGGGAGAAGCTCCTGACTCCTGGTGTTTGGCCCAGCCCCAGCTGTTGTGGCCATTTGGGGAGTGTAGCTCTGCTTTTCAAATAAATACATTTAAACAAACAAACACATTTCCATTACCCAGTCGGGAAAGGAAAAGGCAGTCTTCAAAGCCTCGCCCGGCTCCATGAGGACTCAGTTTTGTCCACATGTCCTTGTCACGCTGGCCAGCTGGCGAGCAAGGCCCAGAGCCGCATGTCTCACACGCGCCCCTGGACGTGACCTGCAGAGCGCTGCCTGCCGGGCTGCAGCCTGGGAGCTGCCGGGGCCGTGTGCAGACGGATGCTGGGGAGAGTTCGGATGGGCAGGTAGCAGGTGCTATGGTCGTGCCACATGCCCACTCCCCCTGCTTGAGCTGCTTACGAGAGTTCCTTGCCCTGTCGTCAAGTACAATTAAACACGTCCTTGCCCATTTTTCTTATGATTTTAAGTAAGCGATCAACCTCATCAAATGGTAATGGTGCAAAGGACCGGATCCAGCTATGTGAGGAAGATGCTAAGAACTAAGTCACTCTGCTGACACTGGCACTACATGCACTTCTGGCAACCGCGATTCTCAATGTCCCCAGGACCGAGTTATCCGGCGGAGACAATGTGGGCCGCCAGCCTCACTCCCTAGGGTAGGGTCCTTTTCCTCCCTCAGTCACAGTGTCCACGACCCAGCCTGGGCACCAGAGATCCTGACACTTGGCCGAAAGGAAAAACTCCCCATTTGGCAATGATAGAGAATGAGACAAAGATGGGTGACCCTGTCTTAGGAAACCTACTTGAATTTATAGTTTGCCTCTCTGATTTCATTTATTTGTAACTACTTGTTTTGAAGAAATACACAGAAATGAGGTGAAAATAAACATTCTCCTCCAACCAAGCTGCGGAGAGAATAAATTGTGCCCCAAGTGTGTCGCTCCCCCTCTTCGTGGGGGAACGACACTAAGCCCTGCCTAGGCTTCATATCCGAGTCACGGCACCATTATGTCGCTCCCCCTCTTCGTGGAGGAACGACACAGGACCCTGCGCTGTTCTTTCGTCTGCTCGGCCCTCCCCGGGTTTGCTGCTGGTTCTTCCCGGGTTGGCTACTGTCCCTTCCACCTCCGTGGAAGGGCAGTTCCCCCTGGCCACATTCCCCACTTCCGCAGGGGAGAGGCACACCGCCGGCCGGCTCTCTCGGGGGCTGCACAGGTGTTCCCTCAGATGTTCCTGGTGCATGCCGTCTCTCTCCTCCTTTATAGTCCTCCTCTGCCAATCCCAACTCGGCTGCCCACATGCCGAGCACGCTGCTCTCCTCCAATCAGGAGCAAGTCCTACAGTTTATTGGTTGAACTGGAGGCAGCTGTGTAGAAGCTGTTTTCTCTCCCAGCGCCATATTGTGGGAGAGCAGGTGCATAGAATAAGTCTTAATTCCAGTAACTTAGTCTAGTCCGAGCTGCTCCCCACACAAGTGAAGTGGCTGAATTCAGTGGGTTTTAATTACTTTTGTTCCCATGGGCTCCCTCCCACCCCTTAATTTCTTCGATGTTCCCCTTGTTGCCAGGCTTAATTTGCAAGTTTCGTCCCACACTCCCTGTGAAAGTAAAACTAAGAGTGATGGGAGAAAGGGGCACTAGCGCTGGCCGGGCAGGCGCACGGGGTCTTCCTGAGGCAGCCACGGCTCATCCCCTGCCCTGGAGCCTGCGATTCTCCTAGGGATAAACTTAGAGGCAGCGTGGGGGCCGCTACACCTCTGACCTTCCACCTGCAGGCGGTTCAGCCCCGGGATGCGATTTTACAAGCGCGCGTAACTTAGCAGCACAGGCCTTCCCTCCCAGGAAGCCAGGGCCTCCGGAGCCGCACGCTCTGCTCTGCCCACCACTGCTCTTGCAGCTCTGGCTGCTGAGCCTCTGCGTGTGGAGCTCAGCTCCCAGCACCTGGAAGCCACATCCTGACTGTGGGCCGGGACAGGACGTGGAGGTGGCGGGCGCTGCCTCCAGGCGATGGCGTGCTTACGGAGCCGCCGTCATCTTGGAGAATAGGGTGGTTACAGCTCTGTATGCTCCAGAGAGCAGGGTGAGGATGTCTGCCATCCTCTACCCAACATAAAGACAGCAAAGAAGGTGGACTTGGGATTCCCTGCCACTTCCTCTGCCACACCCAGGAACTGGCCCCTCACGTGAAGAACATCATCTGCTGAACATTTTTCCTTTCTGTTAACCAACTTGACAATACGCCTCTGGTTAAGGGGAACACACACAGGACAAAGTCCTCTGTTATCTGAGCGTGACTGCCGGAAAACATTTTGGTGCACTGCTTTTCTTTCCGGCTCTTCGTCTTTGTTCCCTTTTCCTGTTTCTACCATGCCATGGGGGCTTGTGCTCGGCACCTATTCTAGGGAGTCTGACTCAGTCATCCTTAGGAGTCTCCTGTCATCAAAGGCGAGAGAAGTCCTGTAGGACAGGGTTTTGTAAACAGGCATGCCACACAAAGAAGCACTCTTTAAAAAAAAAAAAAAAGATTTATTTATTTATTTGAAAGGCAAAGTTACACAGTGAGGGGGAGAAACAGAGAGAGAAAGAGATACCTTCCATCTGCTGGCTCACTCCCCAAATGCCTGCAATGGCAAGGTCTGGGCCAAGCTGCAGCCAGGAGCTTCACTCTGGTCTACTACATGGGTGCAAGGGCCCAAGGACTTGGGTCATCTTCCACTGCTTTCCCCAGGCCATCAGCAGGGAGGTAAATTGGAAATGGAGCAGCCGGGACAGGAATCAGTGCCCATGTGGGATGCTGGTGCTGCAGGCAGTGGCTTTACCCGCTAAGCCACAATGCCAGCCCCTAGAAATAACCTCTCAGCAGAGAACTGGTTACACATGGAAGATGGGAGGAGAGTTTTTGCTCCTCCATCTGTGTGATAAATTCCACAATACTCTCCTTCTAGTCTTGGGTTTTCAGCAGGTTACATATAAATTGTAGACACAGATTACACCTGTTCAATTAACAATACAGCAATTTTAACAGGGTAACAGTGTCTAGAGAAAAATGTTACATTATGCACTTGACATTTCATTTACAAATTTTCCCTTCCAACTAAAAGGCTTCACTGTAACAGAAATTTCAAATGTACTTTATTAAACCTGATTGCTGACTAATTAGAGTCTACACAATGGTAAGAAATTGTACAACGGAAACCCTACCAGAGCTTGTTTCTTTGGACGCTGACATGTTCAAGTTATTTCTCTTCTTTATAAAACTGAATCTGCAGTGCAGATACCTGTATGTAGAACTGGTCCCCATGTTTTCTGATGTCGTGGAGGACAGCGGGGGGTGGGGTATGTGCTAGACTTTTCCATGGCAGCGTCTCCGGGGAGGCAGTCCCAACACTTCCTAGTGAGACTCAGTGCTCAGGTGACTTGCTGGTTGAAGTATCTAGGATGGGGCAAGCACTTAGCCTGCATCCATCATCAAAGTCCCCGGCTCCAACTCTGGCTTCCTACTAATCAGTCCCTGGGAGGCAGTGGTGATGGCTTAGCTAACTGGGTTCCTGCCACCCGTATGGGAGACTGGGATGGAGTTCCTGGTTCCTGGCTTTGGCTGTAGCCGTTGTGGGTATCTGGAGAGTGAACTAGTGGGTGGGAGCTCACTTTCTAGGTCTCGCTCTCAAAAATCATGTAAGTTGAAGTGGTCTCAGAAAAAAAAAAGTATTCAAGATAGGAGTCAACTCAGTTTCTTACTTGGACAACTCAAGCCAAAGTACAAACTTTCAGTTTTCAGGGACCCAGAACATCTTTTCAAAAAAGTACATTTTATACCCATGTATCGCCGTTATTATTTCAGCCCAATCGTACCTTCCTAGGTTACCATTCCTGCTTCTCACTCAGGAACTCTCAGCTCCATCAGGTAAATCAACGGCACGTGTGTGCGAGCTGCATGTCAAAGACCACATCCAGGGCGGCAGGGACACCCATCTGCCGAAGAGAATTTGCCTAACCTGTCCCTTCGAGGCTGGCTGATGGGACGAAGCCGTCCAAATTCTGACAGTCGTATTCCGTCAAGAAAGGCTCTTGAAAATAATTCATTACATGCACTGAGCTATCCTGCAATAGGGGTCTACTGATAAAGACTTCCCAGCACTTATATTACAAACTTGTCCAGGCAGGAAATTTGGTTTCAACTGTTAAAGTCACCAGCAGAATCACTTCCTCTGGATTCCGCACACAGGGAAGTTACTCCTGTAATTATTACTTTTAAATAGTCTGAGCTTGGGGGGAATCTTACCCTCCCAACATACACACACACACACACACACACACAGGCTGCGGGTCACACATACACACACACACACACACACACAGGCTGCAGGTCACACACACACACACACACACACACACAGGCTGCGGGTCACATACATGCACACACACACATACACATACACACACAGAGGCTGCGGGTCAAGCGCTTCCCATCCCGCGGGGTCCTCAGCAGTGTGCGAGGCTGAAGCCGAGCCCAATCCCGACCCCCGGCTGCCGCGATGTCTCCGAGGCCCTCTTGCGCAGCACTGTTCCGTGCTCATCTGTGCCCATCTCCCTTGGGTTTCAACGCCTCCTCCCACTCAGCAGCTGATTGCGAGTTCTTGGGAATCGGTGGAAATATTGATTGCATTTTACTTCGAAAGTCTTTCAACTAGAAGAGAAAAAAAAAAATCAGGCATCGAATGTTAAAGAGAAAAATACCCAGGTAATACCCTGCTGGCCAGCCAATACTTCCTGCTGACAGCTAGTACTCCCGGCTCCTGGGCAGAGCAGAGCAGTACCAATAAAAGGCCAGGGCTGCAGTCTAGCTACCCAGACAAAAGCACACCTCGGTATTCTTTTTTAAAAAATATTTTATTTACTTGAAACGCAAAGCTGAGGAGGGGGGAGAGAAGAAGAGGAAGAAAGAGAGAGAGAGAGGGAGAGAGAATCACAGCAGCCAGGTCTGGGCTAGGCTGAAGTGAGGAGCCGGGAGCTTCTTTCAGGTCTCCAACATGGATGCAGGGGCCCAGGCCCTTGGGACATCCTCCGCCGCTTTCCCAGGCACATTAGCAAGGAGCTGGATTGGAAGTGGAGCAGCTGGGACTTGAACTGGCACCCATATGGAAAGCCGACACTGTGGACTGTGGCTTATTCCACTATGCCACAATGCCGGCCCCAACACACCTTTCACTCTATGAGAAGTCTATTAGCTAAATAACATAAAACTTCGCTATGAAAAGCAACACGCCCTACATCATCAACCCTCCCACCCCCAGGTGGATTTTCTGTCCGAAGGACAGTGCATATTGTTCTAGATAAAGATGCAACTGAAGAGTGGGATTGCTGTCTATCCTAATGAATATACTTAGGTCGCTAAAAACTTCAGAGCCATAGAGACGACAGAAAGAAGAAACTTAGTAGGAGCTTTAATAAAGAGAAAGTCAATGAATGGCAGATAAACCAACATGTTCTTATGTGCCAGACAGTGTGGAAAGAAACTAAGTAAGGGTTTCACAAGTGACAGCTGATTTGGAATTAAATTAGAACAGGGGGTTGGATCCTAGCATGCCTCTAGTGTGTGGGTCACTTGTACACCCCCCAAGGGTGGGGACACTCATCGACTGGCATTATGGAACAATCTCTGTATCAGACAGCATGAATCCCATACTCATTCTTTCAAGTCTACACGGTCCTGCTATGAAGATGGTACCTCCACAGCCCTACAGTCGGTGCTATACTTTGTTCTTGCCAGCCAGACCCCAGACATATGTTCCCAAGGACACAGATCTCCCTGATGGGACTGTGCAGCAACATGCAAGTCTTAATGGCTACTTCCACAGCGGGCTAGGCTTTTTTTTTTTAATGTTGATGCTTATTTATGTCAACTTGAGACTGAATCTTTCCCTGTTTCCAAACTCAGGGGCTGCATTCTGTTGGAATTTGTAAATCTGGGGCGTTTACCCCAGTCCTAGCACTGCTGCTGTCAGCACAGGCTCTGGTGGCAAACGGACTTCTGTATAGATCTCAGCCCCACCACTGGGGAAGGTGGCTCACTCTAAGTCATAGTTTCTACACATGTACAACAGAGATGATAATTACCTGCCCACAGAGTTGTGGGAATTAAGGGAGGTTATATGTATAAAGCACAGCATCAAATACATGGTAAGTGCTCCACACAGATGATGTTATCCTTACAGCACTGTCAGAACATGTGTGATGCAGTCTACGAACAAAGCCCCTGTGCATGTAAGTACCATGGTATGATTGTTAAAAGCACTACCCCATAATTACCTCTCATTTGGCTTAAGTATTGTGACAGGGGGAGATGGGTGAGGTTATCCACATCCATACCATAGCCTGTAGGGGCCTGTGCCAACCAGCTCCATGCTCTGGAAGCAGCAGCTCCTCTTGAAGACACACACGCCCATGGATGTGTCTCCCCGCACCCCCGCTCGCACAGAGCTCTCTGGTTTGCACTGTGATGGACCCTTCAGGAGAGGGTCTCAACTAGAGACAGCACTGCGTCCCTGGGGAGAGTGTCTGCTCGTCACCATCGGGGAGCACTAGTCGCACTTGGCAGGAGTGGGAGGACACAGATGCCGCACGTCCAGCGTGGGCCACAAAAAGAACTGCTTTGTCCAACTGAGGAGCTTTGCAGACTTTCATAGTTGAAAAGCCAACACCTCTCTGACCACGGTTTACAATGTGCTGCCTACATTTTTCTCTGCAACTGAGCCTAATGACACTGTCTTCAAATGGCATGTCAGCCAAGACACGGACAGAATAATCATTTTCCACGCTTCCTTCTCAGTGATACGGAATTGGTCAGTTGCCAAGGGGGAAAGTTTGGGAGACACAGCTGAGGCCAGGGGAGGCTACCCAAGAGCGGCTGCTTCATTTCAGCATGGCGCGTTCCCCGTTCTCCCCCTCGGCCTCGCGTCCCAAGTGCTCTCTTACGTACTCATGCCATCAGCGAGGGTCATCACTGAGTTACTGAACCACTGGAACCAGACCTGAAAAACAGCCAACTAGGAGTAGACAGGTTTCAGACTGACGCGGGAGCAGCCAAGGACAGCGAGGTAAGAACCCCACGTAGCCCTGTTTTCTGGTTTCCAAACTGCGGATATGGAAACCCAGTATGAAAACATGTTATGCACAGGGCCTCCCATTGCTTTAGACAATGGGGTTTCACGGAGGGTTTTTAGGCTTGAACTGTCCTACAGAAAATCAATGAAAACCACATCCCTCACCTCTCCCGCTCTATCCATTTCCAACATAGGTCAGAAAAGTACTGGTCTTATCAATGGAAGTATGCCAACAGCATTATTCCCCTGCTTCAAGAAGTGCTTGGAAAAAGATTTAGTATTGCGTGCACGTTAGCAACTCTGGTTATAAAGGAAATGTATTCAACTCCGTGACAATAATCACAGCTAGCGTCATAGAATTGCCCCTCTCCCCATACCCCAAAAGTCTGTTGATGATGGAGAATACTGGGAACTGGAGTCCCCACCCAGGGACTCAGTTTTGCCCTGCAACTTTTCTCAAACTTCAAACTCTTCCTGTAGCTCTCGGGACCAGGGAACACCTCTCCCTGCTGTGGGTCACAAGATTGCTGTATCTAGCCATGGGCTGCACCCTGCACAACTCCAGAGGGCTCTCCACAAAGGCTGTGGCACGAATGGCAGTCCCTAGGCAGTGGGCATGTTGCTGCTCCCAGAACCTCAACCTTCAGTCTGATGGTTCAGTGTCCAACAGGACCAGAGTGCTACCAGAAAGCGCCACTGTCCCAGACAGCAGCGCTCAAATGGAGTGCCAAGACACCTGGGAAATGTGCAGCATGTGTCACAAATAGGACATTCTGAGAACTGGATTCTACAGGGCAGGTTCGCGACGTCTCCAATTACCTGCTCTCGTTCACGTTTCTGAAGTTCTTGAAGAGTCGCAGAGCCAGTACGCCAGAAGTGACACTAACTGTAGATGCCACTGGAGGCATCACTCTGCACCAGGCGCATTTCCCATTCAACCCTCACAACACGTGGGACAAACGTCACCCCCTTCTGAAGATGCGGTGATGGGAGCTTAGAGAGACGAAACCAAGTGCTCCATGTCACAGCTGGCTAAGCCAGACCCGACTATCAGCGAGCTACGTGGGACACTGTCGCACACTTACTGGGCATAACTTGGCAGGGAAAAAGAAAACCAGTTTGAAAATGCCTGGTCTATTATATGGTGTGCTGAGGAATTACTGAGATGCTGCAGGCTATACCCCTGATTCGATTAATCCCAGAAAACCCTTACAGCGTCCATTCTAACAAACAGGCAGTATTGTAATTAAAAACTCGGAGTTTTAGTCTCCGGCCGGGGTCACAGGGACGCCTGGACTTTCGCTGACCATGCTGTCCCGAGTGGTGCTTTCTGCCGCCGCCGCAGCGGCCCCCGGTCTGAAGAACGCGGGCCTCCTGGGCCCGGGGATATTGCAGGCAACAAGGATCTTCCACACAGGGAAGCCAAGTCTTGCCCCTGTACCACCTCTCCCTGAATATGGAGGGAAAGTTCGTCTTGGGCTGATCCCTGAGGAATTCTTCCAGTTCCTTTATCCTAAAACTGGTGTCACAGGACCCTACATGCTTGGAACTGGGCTTATCTTATACTGTCTCTCCAAAGAAATATATGTGATTACCCCAGAGACCTTCTCCACCATATCAGTAGTAGGGTTACTTGTATATGTAATTAAAAAATACGGTGCCTCGGGCCGGCGCCGCGGCTCAATAGGCTAATCCTCCGCCTTGCGGCGCCGGCACACCGGGTTCTAGTCCCGGTCGGGGCGCCGGATTCTGTCCCGGTTGCCTCTCTTCCAGGCCAGCCCTCTGCTGTGGCCAGGGAGTGCAGTGGAGGATGGCCCAGGTGCTTGGGCCCTGCACCCCATGGGAGACCAGGAAAAAGCACCTGGCTCCTGGCTCCTGCCACCGGATCGCGCGGTGGGCCGGCCGCAGCGCGCCGGCCACGGCGGCCATTGGAGGGTGAACCAACGGCAAAGGAAGACCTTTCTCTCTGCCTCTCTCTCTCACTGTCCACTCTGCCTGTCAAAAAAAAAAAAAAATACGGTGCCTCAATTGGCGAATTTGCAGATAAACTCAATGAGCAAAAAATCGCTCAGCTAGAAGTGAAACAGGCTTCCATCAAACAAATCCAGAATGCAATTGAACAGGAGAAGTCACAGCAGGCTCTGGTTCAGAAGCGACACTACCTTTTTGATGTGCAGAGGAATAACATTGCTATGGCCTTGGAGTTGACATACCGGGAACGGCTGCATAGGGTGTACAAGGAGGTGAAGAATCGCCTGGACTATCACATCTCTGTGCAGAATATGATGCAGCGGAAGGAGCAGGAGCACATGATAAACTGGGTGGAGAAGCACGTGGTGCAGAGCATCTCTGCACAGCAGGAAAAGGAGACAATTGCCAAGTGCATCGCAGATCTAAAGCTGCTGGCAAAGAAGGCGCAGGCACAACCAGTTATGTAGTGCACCTGCCCGGTGGAGACTATTAGAATCAGTTGACTCACCAGATGGAAACTAAATGTGACTGTTGCCCTCTCCTGAAGTTACACTTTATCTTTCCTAAAAGTCAAATTTAGGTTTCATAAAGAGAGAACTCTTGGCCAGTCATG